ATTAAAGAGTGTGACTGCATTGGAAATATATGCTCCTTAACTCCCACCTTTCCTCCTACCCTCCTTTTGGTGTGTTCAACCTAGGCTATAGCTTGTCTGAGGAAGAGAAGAGATGCTGCTGTCACACAGCCTGAGAAACAACCAACTCTGAGTAAGGACAGAGACTAACTGCTTCTCAAAATTTGCAGTGGCCGGTAGGCGAGTTTACAAAGGGGCTGGCGCAACAAAGTGAATGGCTGCGCTGAGACACATATTGCAGCAGCAAGAGCTATAAGGTATATTGCAAATCCACGAACTATGGGGATCTAAGTAAATGACTTTCAGACAAACTTTGGGTTTTTTTTTTTTTTTAAATTTCTTTTTAATGCCAGGACAATGCAGGGCTTCAATTAATTCTCTAACAGCAAAAAAAAACTGAGAAGAAACTCACCCTTCACAACTAGACTATTTTCTGGCACTGTGAAAGAGCAAAGGATCCAAAAGCTAGCATTTGCATGGTGTTTCAATGTGGCAAGAACATGTATTTAAATGTACTTCTCTAAATAAACCAGGGTTGGGTTGGGTTTTTTTTGTTTGTTTTTTGGTTTTTTTTTAAATTGTTACATTTTATTTTGGCTATAGATCCGTCATAGGTTTACAAATGTTTAAATTAGCAAATAAGAACCACATATACAAGCAACTGGAAATAAAAGCCATTAACAAAGTTTACAAAATTCAAAGTGACAAGATATACAAGGGAGAAGAGAGCCATTTAACTGGAAACTAGAGTCCACATTCACAAAATCTTAGGAAATCTATACTGCTTGAGAAACAGACTGCTGGGAGAAAACCAGATCTGCAGTCCTGGGGGCTAATATGGCATTTCTGTAACATGTTTCTTCATATGAGAGAGAGTTGGCCCCACAGAGTACCACTGCACTCTGGCACTCCCTGGTTGCCGTGCAATTGGTTAATACGATCAGAGTTGTATAATTTAAATAAGCATTGAAAGCTTTGCATTGAGTTTGCAATCAACAAGTCAAACACCTTTGACCTGAGAACCCTGTCCTTAGTGGTACTATATCTTGACTGAGGCCGAAAACCTAGCACTGTATGCTGCGAGGAAAAGGAAATCCCTGAAACACAGCACAAACATACTTACAAAAGACTACTGTATTTAACAGAAAAGAGTTAATAACAATATAACTGAGATTAAAACCTGGACGCTCACAGAATTAAATGCTGGAACTAAAGTCTCGAAGAACCATAAATGGATTTTTTTTAAATTTGTCCGTGTCTACAAGCATGTTCATAAATAAATTAACAGTGAAATGAAAACCTCTAAGGAGGTGAAAGTTAATAGTGGCCCATAATGGAATTGCATATGGGTATTTAAAAAGGATATGAAAATGCTGCAACATAAAAAAGAAATCATTGATCTTGCAGTGAGAATTTTCAAGTATTGTAAATACAGAAAAAAATGTGAAAACAATCAAATGCAGCCAAGACTGAGAATCTCTCATTCTGGTTTTATATGCAGTAAAACTTTGAAAAGCATTTACATGCAAATATGAAAAATGACATAGCTTTTGCTTACAAGCATCTAATTCAATAAAATACAGTCATATTAAAAGACATGGGTTTTAAAAGCGGAATTTTATTAGGACCTGCTAACATTTTTTTTTTAAATATTATTGGCATTCATAATTAGAAATTATTTTTTTTCTTTTAGTTATCCTTGTCAATGATTCAGCATACACAGAAGGGAAAAAAATACTGGACCATATTTTGTACAGCCAACTAGAAACCCTTTTTTTTCCTCCTATGTATCATGGCATCAGAATATGGCTCACTCTCTCAAGAAATTTATTCTCTGAGGGATACGACTGAAGCCTTAATATTCTCTCAAGTAATTCTGACTCGTCTCGCTGTATCATTTATCACATACGTAGTTATAAGCAACTAACACCCCTCCTCTCTGAATCTCTGCAACACAATTACAGCTCCTCCTCCCTGCCTTTGAGGTGAAGATGCTCTAGGGACAAATCTTATGATTCCCTGCAGACAAGGAGTATCAGCTTCACAACACTTTCGGCTTTTGTCAACCTGACAACTAAAACCATAATGTACTCTTTGCCCAGATTTCAGGACAGCTATCCATGTTGCTACTTATATAGTGAAAACTAGCTTATAATATCAATGAAAAAAAAATAAAAATAAATCACTCCAGGGCCATCTATAAAAGGAAATACTGTGATTAATAGAGCCTTAAGATTTTCTTTGAAGATCTTTCTGTAAGTAAAACAGACAAACAAAGCCAGCAAAAAGAACTGAACAGGTTTAAAAACCAGCCTCTTCTAAAGATTCACTGCCTTGTTTTAGTCATGTACCACTTCTTTAATCAAACAGAAGTGACTGGAAAAGTACAACAGCAGATTTTTCATTTGCATTAATTATCATTCAGATTGCCAGTACCACTCACCAAATTAATCTAGAAATTATTTCAGATCACACTCAATACTATTATTCAAAATTTAATGACTTATGTTTAGTTTTTAAGTATCTTAAAAAAGTCTACCAAAAAAACCCAGAGACATGAGGATTTCAATATTCAATTTGATGAGAATCATTGCGCTGTTGCAAAACAAAGCCATACAGACATTGCAGATAAAGCAATCTCTTCAGTCAGATGTATGACGATGAACTAAGTGTTTATTAGGAGAAAAAGAAAAAAAAATCCGCTTATTTTACTTCAGTGTTCTAACTAAACTAAAAATCAAGATATTTTGTACAACTCTAATTCATACGAAGCTCAGAAGAGTACAACATCACAATTAAACTTCTAAATGTGTATCAAAAGTGACAATATTCAGATAACGTATATATTACCTGGTTAAGAGAATAATACCAAGAAAGCGGAAGATGAAATACCCGTAAGGCTACCGTCTTTAGAGAAAATCGTGCCTCAGTAGCAGCTTCTTCTGACATGGCTACTTCTCTCCCATAACCTCATTAAGTGGAACTATCTTGGAAACAGTCACAGCTGGTCTCTGGAATACTCTGTTAAATGAAGGATACAGACTAAATTATGCAACAAGAAGCGCAGGACAGCGTTCTTCTACGAGCTCGAACCTAACAGGTACATGACTTGTTGATGTTTCTGAGAAGTTAAGGCTTGTGCTTAAGGAGAAGATGGCAGATGTGCTGGCTCAGCTCAGGCCGCATTCATTCCAGCTGCTCTGTGCAGAGAGCTGCACAGGCATAACCAGGAGCTAGAGGGGACTCCGTCTGCTCTGATTAGCTGGCAGTTCACTTATTATACCTTCGAAATCATGCACGGGAACAGCCCTGTTCCCAAGATCGCTGTTGTTGGAAGAACAGATTTGCCAGCTAAAAGAGTTAAACTTTTTGTGGCTGCTCTCAAATCTTTTCTGGCATTCAGAGCTTCATTCTTTTTGCAGAAACACGATGCAGAATAAATACTACTGCCTGAGGCAATCTCCCGCATGAAAAGAACACGCCCCTCGCTCCCCGATGCCAAACACACCGCGAAGCCCCCGACGCCCGACACCCGGGGCACGGAGCGAGGTGCAAGCGGAGGGC